TTGAGATCTGACAGTTGTGCCATCACTCAGATCACTCAGGAGTTTTCTTTCTATGTAGCATCACATAGAATGTTACAGAATTTTACATAGAATGGGGGTTTTGTGTGTGCTTTTGGTTATTTTTAAAAACCAAAACCCATGCTTTTCACTTTTCAGGAGGTTGTTATAGCCAACAGCACTGATTATACCAGTTCTGAAGGAAGCCATTGCCAAACTGGGAGTTCACAGCAATATAAAGAGCAGTTTCGAGTCTGAGGGGTTGTGAGTGCAGAAATAGTTGTCTTAAGGTTACTTGTATTTTAGAGGAGGCAATATGGTTCATAAAGCAGATGGCACTGGAAGGATTGCTCAGAGAAAGTTTAGATTTAGCAAATTCTCAAAAGTAAGATTAAGAAGACAGATGGGACTCTGGATTGGAATGCTAACATGTTAGGGCTTTTTTTGTCTTTTTCTATTTCGCTTTCCCAAATTATAACCTTGGAGATGCTGGGGTTTTTATATAGCTGACAATAAATTTAGTACTTGAAAACTGGGAGGGAGTTACACTTCAGCATCTGTTTTCACTGTATCTAGTAGTTTTTGTTTGCACTCTTTTGCACAACAAGCAAGATGCAATTGCTGAAGGAAGACAAAGGAATATAACTATGAGAAAAGAAATTTAGGCTGGACTTGCACGAGCATATACCTACAGCAGCCTTGTCCTCTGTGGAAAGTAACCCTGTATTTGCTGTTTTCCTACTAACCTCCTTCTCCTGCTTTGCTTTGGGATTCTTGAAGTGGAGTTGCAGGGTTTCCCAGATGACTTGCACAATTTAACCGTTTGAGTGGCCCATTCCTGGCAGTCCTTTCAGGCAGGGTCTTTTTGCCCAAGAAGACAGGGTATCTTTGCCTGTAGTTTATGTCCTGGAAATGAAAAGTTATCATTAAATAGCTCTTGCTTTGGACAGGAAACATTCCTGTAGGAATATGACAGGGCATGTGCTAGTGGTGCAAGCACATTACTCTGGTTCTACGTGTGCCCTGCAAGCCAACAGGGAACCATGTGCCGGACAGCCCAGTTTTGAAAAGGTCACATTCACACAGCACTGATCAGGAGCAAGGTCTGTTACACAGGTCTACTGGCTCAGGCATAGCCTGGCCTGTCTGTGGGGTGAGAAACATCACACCTGCCCTGGTTGGATTCATCAGCCTGGGGCCTGTCACCTCAACCATCTCTGCTTTGCCCAGCAGTGAGGAAACATCATCACTGTGCACCCTTATGTCCCCTTCTTTTCTTCAGAACCTCACTAGCAGTACAGAGCAAAGCTCTTTCAGAACTTGGTA